GCGCTGCACTACCAGTTCCGCCATAAAGTAAATGAAAGCGCTGGCGGGTCATGCGGAGGCTGCTTCCCCTCTCCCACAGCACATCAGCATTAGCGCGCAGTGAACAAGTTTTGACTACCAGCTCAGCATGCTCTCAGAAGGCCCCAACAGAGTACTCTTGAGCACACGTTATTTTTAGAGTGATACCACATGCAAAAAAAAAAAAAAAAGGGGGGGGGGAATTTAAATAAGAGAGCTGCTGTTTTCCTCCATTACCTAGTACTAGGAATACCACAAACAAATTGATGTCAGGTCTTTGCAAATAAAATTTAGCCTTACTGCAAAGGCAAATAGAGCGTTAACACGCAACTATATGTATCACATAAACTACGTACATTTAGTATCAGTATAAAGCCCTTTCTGTTACAGCTCCCTATACTGTTTCGGGGATAACAAGAACTAAAATATTCTCGGGGATTCAGGAGCATTACATTGGGGGTACTTTTGCTTCAGAGTTTTTGGTGACTCTGTTTTGAAGTTTGAAGACAAAATCTATACATCAGTTCTGACACCCTGAAACATGACCAGAAAAAGCTCCCCACCTCCATTCTCATTTTTCAAAGGGTTTGCTCAGAGACACGTGTTCCACATGGGAAGCTCTGCAAGCGTGTATAAATCACAAAGTCTAAACTAAGCATATTTCTAGGGAAATTGAGTTTATTCCCACATTGTCAATTAGGCATTTATTTCAACGGGCAGTCATTTCACCTCCGCAACTACAAGTCTGAAAATCCAGGAAGCGCAAAAGAGCATGTGTTAGCGCATGTGATCCTGGTAACGGATACTCACTTGTATCTGTTGTTTGTAGGTGTTTATTTGCACTTCTTCGCACTCCGGAATGACCTGCTTGTGAGAGTTTTGAGAGTTTGCCCTATCTGTGTTCCCTGCATGCTGCGGGGAGGAATGCTGCTTTGCAAGGTCATCCGCTGCTTCTCCATCTTGTCAGTCTAATATAAAGTCAAACACACCTCCGTCTCTTCCTCAGTAGAGGCAGAGTTGAATATATTGCTCCTTCTTCTAATATGGAAGAAGCAGTCTTTTCCCAAGCTAGCCCTAGGAGTATATGGTGACCTACATCACCAAATCTCCTTTTACTCTTGGGCAAAAAGTGTCATTTTTCTCAAGTTGTCCAGCTTCTGGAAAGTCTTTTGTGACCAGCATTCTTCAGTAGCTGCACTTTGCAGATCTGGACATGAGACACGCTTTCAGAAGCAGAAAGACAGAGGACTGGGTCAGCAGTTCCTTCCCTAGTGACTGAAAACAAAATTTCAGTTAGAGAGAGGTTAAAAAAAAAAAAAACAAAAAAAATCATAATAGAAAAGATGTGGTAATAATAACATACTCATACAAAAATCTCATATTCTCATGATTTTCCATTGCCACTGGCAATGACTGTTCTGCTCAGAAATGATGAATGTAATCACTTAATGAGCGTGTCTCCTACTGATGCAGCTAATACAATCTTGTGATCTCTGGCCCAGAAAAACTCCAAATGTGTGATTACATGCACAAAAGTTAAAACACTATTGACATTAGAGTTTCCATACCCATTACCACAAAAACCAAAGCTACTATAGATGAACAGACTGTTTCTGATAGTTATTACTTTTAGAAGCATTTGTTTTTGCCAGGGGAGGCAACAGAAATAAAAACTAATAATGGGAATGCAAGAAAAATCAACAAGAAAAGGATGAGTCAGAGTTGGATACAGTATGTTTAATAAAAAAAAGATTTTCCCTAGCAAAATTTAATCTTTTGCACAAGAATCACCATAATTGAAAACTAGAAATATATTGGCATTTCATGGCTCCTTAAAGAGAGCATCAGAATAAAGTTTTAGCAAAACAGAACACTGAGTACAGCTGAAACTATTTACAGTTTTATTTTAATGGGGAAGTGAATTGCTGGTATTTTATACCCCTTAGAATAGAATCAATGGTAAAAAAAAGAGTTTTTCACCCATGATCTTCCTAGTACATCCTAGCAAAGAACAGGGTGGGCCAAGAAAAGCTATTTGCTAGTCTGTCATATTAAAACAACATAAAGCAATCTCAACCAAAACTGGGATCCCATTACGCTGACCAGCATACAAACAAAAATTCACAGATCCCAAGGTCAAAGACTAAAGTCAAACAACAGAAAGCAAGTAGTATCTCCCGTACATGGGCTGGAACCTGATGTACATAGAAAGGCTCAAAAGGCCACGATTCACAGGGAAGGTTGGCTGAAGAAGTTACTGCCTCAGCTTTCTCCTTCACCCTTCTTTCAAATTCTCTTTCACATGCTGCTTTTGCAAAAGATCTGCTGAAACGTAGCTTAGATAATGCAGTAGCATTTTTCCCCAATACACCAGGATTTCAGGAGTTGCTTACTGAGGACCTGATCCATCCCCCAACAGTAACCCCAAAAAGAGATGCAGAACACAGCTGGACCTAGGAATGGCTATAGCTGCCCCCAAATAACTTCCCAAGCGCAAGCCTCTCTTCTGTGAAAGAGCCTAGAGAGAAAGTCAAGGTCCTCAGGTCCCACTTCGTCAACCAAAGGCCAGCCACTTCTCTTAAGAAGCCTTCACTAAGTGGAGGCTTCAATGACATACATATTTATTCACTTCATTAATTTTCTTATTGGTCTAATTTCAATTTGTCCAGTGACCCAAACCTTGCGAAAAGTGGGCTAAAGATTACCTCGTTCACTGTATTTTATATTGCTATCTTTGTATTCTGCACAAATGTTACCTCATACCCTCCCTGAGCAAAAACAGTGAAATAAAGCAAAAAGCATTACATCTCTCCACATTCCCAGTTCACGAGTTCATCCTTTGCCCATCTCTTCCTTCAGCAGAAGCCAGAGGCTAACAGCAAAACAAGCTGTTTTATGTAACGGTAAGAAGACTTTTCCCTGAAAAAGCAGTTTCTCCCAGAGCATCCACCTGCTAAGGCAAGCTGATCTACAGTATCTAAGTAGCTCAAAGCAAAAGCCTTCTGCATAAAAGAAATGGGAGGGAGGGGGGCACACAAGTAGGAACACCAAGCCAAGATTTCAAAAACTTGGAAGGACTAAATCTTCTAAAGTGTAAGTAAATTAGGAGAATACCTTCTATTACAAATTAAGAGATCCTTTTGAAAAAAATCACTTTTTCTAATAACATTGCTTGTTTAGAGCTATAGAAATGTCAGTAAAGATTGTATCTTCATTATCTAAAAATTCAGAATACTTTCTAAAGATCCATTCAATAAATCCACCATAGACTACACCTTCCCTCTGTACATTTCTGATTTGATGCTTTACCACAAGCTAACTGATTTTTTATTTTTCAAAAGACAATTGTATTCCAAAGATGAAAGATGTTTCATATTTCCAGTCTTTTAGCATGAACAGCTGTGAAAGATGAATACTTTTACAGCATCTCACTTACAGCAGCTGCTGTAGTAAGCATAAGAATAGCTAAAATACATCTTTGCAGCTATTTCTGGTATAGACTTGTAAAATGCAAAATGACAAAGCTAGATATTTTTCTATTTGAAGAAAATGCAGATATTAAGAACATACTTGAATATTACCAGCAGCTTTTAAAATCTGAGTTGTAAGCGATTCAGTGGTACAAGCTTAGCCTTACTATCCAGTATGCCAAATACAGAGTACAACCTATGAGTGACTTGTAACTTCTGCCCTTCTCAGGTTTTGAGATATAGGTAATCCATATAACCTGAAATAAAGGTTTTGGCTGCCAAATCAAGTGCAAGAAACCCCCAAAATATAGGTGCATTGCAATTCTAGTAGAGACTAGTATTATCATCCCATGATGTCACAGAAAACTCACCTTCAATAGTATATTCTTAGACTTTAGAGTATGTATTTGTTGCAGAGGCAATCTAGAAGCTTACTGCCTGAACTTCTTTTAAGATGAATCTTACTAACCAAGAGTGTCACTTTAACAGCAGTGCCAGAGGCACAATGAAATTGGAGGTATTACGGGTCCAAAGGCAGCAGTACCTGTAAGCTAGATGGATCAGGTTGTATTAAGTTTTAGCGTTCAGTTACTACTGTAATTCTAGCAGGGGCAAAGTTAAGGCACTGTTCCTGTATCTAAGGTGAGGGGGAAAACTACTGCAAATATTTGTGTTTTGAGAGTAAATTTTAATTTTTCCTGAGAGACTTGGGAATTTGCAGCAGCGTAAATATAATAATCAAGAGACGACCTTAAAAGCTAGTGAAGTTTGAGCATGCTACATACAGCTTTTTAGCCCTATGGAAACATAGGGTTAAAAATGCACACTGCAGAAGCAAATAATCAGGGATTGTGCAAAGTACAAAAGCTACAGCGATTATAGCAAGGAGTAGTCTTCCCTACTTATGCACGTCACCTGAAAGCCAAAGTAGTGAAGATGCTTTTCTTCAGGACACAGGAAGCGTTAACTAATACAAAACCACTATTACCTACTTTTTCAGCTCGTATGTGCAGACCTAGCTCAATTACTTCATTGAAAGAAGCGAGGCAGATTACATAGTAACTTTTATTAATAAGTCAACTTTGAAAAAGAATCTCACTGACACATTTCCAGAATTGAAGTTTCCTCACAAAATTTCACATGAATATTCCAAAAGTTTCTCCATCATTAAAAACATTCAACAGAAGACTTGTGAAACAGGCATTGAATAAGGTGTACCAACCCACAAGTCACTGGAGAGTGGAAAAAAAATAAAAACAAAAAACACTGTTTAAGTTCTTCTCCATAAATGGTCCTCATATCATAGGAAGATATATCATTTGAATGCTAACTGTCTTACAGTATTTCAAGTTTGTTACAGTTAAAGAGTTAAGGAAGAAAGAAATTAATTGAGTCTATAATACAGTAAAAAGATGACATTTCAATCAGACACTGAAGTTTCAAAAAAAAAAAAAAAAAAAAGCAGCTTCCAGAAAATTCAGTGAAAAGCTCTGCTACTTTTTATGTAAAGGGGGAAGCACAGAAGGAAGAGAAGGGAAGCAGAGGAAGAGACATTTAGAGTAGATAAGTCTTTAACAGTCATCTACAAAAAGTAATACTGCACCAACAGAGAAAAGGATTGTGAAGCATCTAGGCACCATATTTAGCTTTTATCAATTGAATTAATACACTCCAGAATATAGCTTCTTTTCCCCTTAATTAAAAATAAAACAGAACTCTTCACTGTGTTCACAACAGAACTCTTCACTGTGAACTCTTCACATAAATATATTACACTGCAAAAATAGACTAATACAGAGAAAAGATTTCAGAACTGAAAAAAATTTAATGGGAAGTTCCAATAGTCATAATCACAATATTCTTATTCTAAGTGCATAAGGCAAGTTTGACATCAGCTATATAAATTTACAGCATTATAAAAACTCTTCATCCTGGAAAATTTTTTAGAAAAAGAAAATCAATACTTAATGAGGATATAATATTGCACCAAGAGCTGAAATTAACAGGTTACACCTATAAAGTGCTGAAAACCCTTCCAAAGTCAGGCTGTATTGTAGTTCTGTACTCATAATGGTGCGTGAATCTTGAATACATACACAGTTCAGTGTGGTCACTTGATTGCAGACTTTTTTAAAGAAAAGACAATGAGGTAGAATAAATTCCTTCAGGTTCTCTTCCACCTTATGGAACATTAAGCTGTGCAAATGGGTCTGTCACAGGAAAGGGCTCCAAAGCTTTTTCTGCGTTCTTCCAGTTATGAAAATTTTCTTTGTACCATTCAACTAGTATGAAGAGAATGTTGGTGAATCAAATTGAACAGAGATAATAGCAGGGAAATTCAAAGAGTTGATAGATATCGCAAGAGTAAGAGCAGAAAAATAATTCATTATACAAAATGTTATTCTGTAAGATCCCAAATAACTACTTTCTTCCTATTTACAGAGTCCTAATCCCAGACTTATTCTAGCATTAAAAAAATAAATTAGTTCCAGTACCTGGTGCCATTGTACTGTGATTAATTTTTTTAAACATATAGATAAATTCATTATTTGAAGGGGAACCCATTTTATGTAAAATTACAACCATAAGTTCATTCTCTGTAACTTCTCATTAAGTTACAGACCCATTTTTCCCCTCTCCCTTTTCATCCTCCCATCACATCCAAATCCATTAGTACCAAAGGCAGTCATACTTGTTTTCTTTATTCCTTCTTTCCATGGCACTTTAGGTCTCCATCCCAAGTTGTGCATTTTTTCTGAATTCATTGGGTATCTCAGGTCATTGGTCGGTCTGACAAAGTATGAAATGCACAGGCAAAACAATGTGGTTAGACTGTTTTATTAATTAGAAACACAGCACTTCACATTGTCTTCAAGCCGTCATACTACATATGCTTCAGCTTTGAAGATTCCCATAACAGATTACACTGCTTTCACAAAACGTGGCGATTGTGTGCAGCTACAACAATACAATTCAGTTTGAGCAGTCAACTACTTGAAAGTGACTAGAATAAATGTGAATTAATGTCTTCTTGGCAAAATGAATGCAAAACACGATCACTGCCAATGGAATTGTACAAACCAGTACACATGCAGTTCCTCAGGCAGTTATTATACAAGTCAGTGTTTTCTAATATCAGTGTTTCCATATTTCATCCTGGAAGCCCAAAGATATCCACACCCATCAGATTCGAAATTATATATAGACTTCCAAAGCATTGTCATTATAGCGCTTAATTAGCTGGATAAACTTAGTAACACTGAATACATTAAATCCAAAGCTACAAGATTCAACGCTGAAAAAGATTCAGTACATTTAAGCATTGCACACGTCTCTTCTGCCACAATCTAACAGTTAGGTAGTCTAATCTAATGTTCCTGCAGTACTGGCACTAACATAATGAATAGTTAAGTTATAAGTGCAGACAGAAGCAAACCATTTATCTGAGTTGTTTTTAAAAAGTTAAACTCAGAAGCAAAAACAAGACTATTTTTTCCACGGCAAGTAAACTCTATGCCCTTTAAGTGTCTCATTATAGAATTAAGTAACTGCTGATTGTGAACTAGAATGTTAAAAATCCTTTATAAAGCCTCAAAATTCTTTTAAAAAGATGCAGCCCATGCTGCTGCCCTAACTTTGGCACCTCAAAGTCTACATTTGAGAAAATAATTTCAACTTAAGATAGGAATCTAAAATTAACTACCGTATTTAGGTGCCTATTTGTCTCTGTGGAGAGAGAGTCTTACCTATAAAGCACATCCAAATCTGAACCAGCCCCATTAACACAGAAATACTAAAGCTAGATGAGAAACAGTGGGATTCATCTCAACCAAGTGATGTAGAATACAACAAAGTACTGAAAAAAACATCATTAAGAGAAGGTTTAGCTGCTATGCAAAACCTATCCCTTTCCTAGAGCACACTTCCGTAATGAGCAGTCTGAAGAAAGTCTGAAGACAGTCAGTCTTTGGAGATCAGCACTACATATTCCCCTTAAATATAAAATTCTGATCTAAAGATCCAAATAAAAAAAAGAGTTCATAGTTTTCTATAACGTGTTCTGTACAGTTCATAGGTGTCAAATCCATAAAAAGTTAAGAAAGTAAAACAGCTCTTACTCCCTCAAGAGTTTTCTCCTTCTGCAGAGCAGAGACTTTCACAGAAAAGTTACATTGAGCAAGAGACCCAGAAACCTTCAGAATAAAACTATCCTGCATATGCTTTTTTTTTTTTTTTTTTACCTGTCCTTGACATAATCCATCCAGTGCTCCATTTCAGATTCTGAACTGGTCTTCTTTATCTGTTAGGGGATGGGGTGGGAGGAACAACCCACATATCTTAGACTGTCTTTTTATACACATTTAAAAATTACATATGTTATGATATGAATTAGATATGAATATTTAAGTTCGTCAAGGGAAGTGGTCTTTTGTCTAAACTGAGTTGTCAGACTACTGAAATTAATCACAGCTGTTTAGGACAATTCCAATAATTACTCTGCCTCATCCAAGCTCTCAAACATTCATAACTTTAAATTTAAATAGTTACACACTCTCAAAACAAAACTGAAGCAGACAGTATGAAAAGTCATCAGCAAACAGCATTCACTCATTAGGCCCTTTACGCCCTGTTCCAGATAGCTGATGTAGTAATACAATGCAATGCACGATAGCCTGTACCGCATTAACATAATGTGTATAGCACATTATTCTCAGACTGTCAAAAGTGACCTTTCCCACCTCGAGCACTTAACTACCTCACAATGCTACAAAAGTTTTACAGGACAACTCTTCATATGTATGCTGACTGCCAAGAAAAAGTATCATAACTGTTTACTCACTAAATGAATTAACTCCTTAGCAAGTTGGGCAATGGACATCTCAAAATTAGTTCCAATGTTATAAATTTCACCTGGCTTCCCCTCCTTCAGAACAGTAAGGAATGCTTCTACCACATCAGTGGCATAAAGGAAATTCCTTCTCTGAAGTCCAGAACCATGAATACAGCTAAAAAAACCCAAAAAACATAAAAAGGCAAAAGATTCTTGTTAATCTTTAAACAGAAGCACTCAATTTAATAGTCTGCATTTTAAGCAGTTCTGCTGCTAAAAGTTACAGGAAGGTATCTGAAATTAAAATAGCTTACTTCATACAATCCTTAAGCAATTTTGAAAAAAAAAAAAAAATTCCATTACTGAAGCAAATCATAACACAGTTAAGAAATGGCTGTTTTCCAAGCCATACTACCTAACTATGGCTATAATCACAGTTTCTGTAGCACAAACACCACACCAAAAAAAAAAAAAAAGCAAGTTACATACCATTTTCTGTTCTGTTGCAACAAAGAGATAAACTTTGGTATAACCTAAACAGTTAAACAAGAAAACTATTACTCCAACTTATTTTGGAAGCTGTTATTCTACAAAGAATATAATGCTTCGACAGTAAGTATCATCGAGCATTTCAATAATTTTTTAGTATTTTAAGTTTTTAAAAATCTAGTCAAAGAATGCATCAAGCCTAGAAATTGCAAGTACTCTTTTTTTCCTGGTGTAAGCAGAGTATTTTGTACACGATAGGTGCTTCTTCCTCAGTTCAAGGCAGGAAGTAAATACAATTCCATAGAATATACACAAGCTTAATATTAGATGTGCAGCAGAAGAGCTAGTTTCTTAGGAGTACAGGCCCCTGCAAGATAACGTACGGATAAAAGCAAAAAACATGTCATTTTGCTGCCTTCTCCCCATATTTGTGACTGTTACAGGTTTATTTTACCTATTACCCTTACAGATTGGAACGCCTGCTTTTATACTCAAGATATCACTCTCTCTCAGTTTACCTTTTGAAATTTTGTTTATCTCAGTTATTTAACATCCCCAAAGAACCACATGCTAGGCAGGCTTTGGAGGAGGGGGGGTGGGGGGGGGGGGAAAGCACTGCTTGACATAGAACAGTTAAATATGCTTGGAAAATTAGGAAAATTCCAGAACAGTTACTGTGGCAACATTCATATAGATATCTGAAAAGCTCTAACTTATAAACATGTGTTCTGGATGTCAATAAAGCATCAATCATGTGTTAGCATGAGACCAAAACATGCAGTCATGGTTAAGCATGACTAACACACTTGCAAGATAATACTTTTTCAGAAAATTAGTTCATTCTCATGAAGAAAAAAGTAACGTATCACTTTAAAACCCCAATTTATACTGTACTGAAGCTCAGAGTAAAGCATACATTTAACTTACTTTTTCTGGATACTGGTGTGGTCCATAAACATTACTGCTCCGTGTGATAACAACTGGAAACTAAACAGAGTATTAAACATGCATGTGATTACATAGGAAATGAAGTATAATTTATGAGTAAAAATCTGTAGGCTTCCTGCAGGTTAATCAATAATAAACAACACACATGCAGTGCCCAGTCAAAAATCTGAAATCTGTTGTTATAAACATTGACAGAAGCTTGTATAGCTTAATTATTAAATACACAAGGGTCAGTAGTCTCAGCTTGTCACGTAACATGAGTGATGAGTGTTCCTAATTTCCCAGTCTTGTTACAGATCAACCACAGAACATTACATACATACATGTGTGTGTGTGTATATGGTTGACTAAAGATTTGCTTACTATTTCCTATTCCAGGTAAAGAGTTCAGTCATTAATACCATATTCAAGTCAACTTTGTGTCAAAAGCAACTTTGCAGAAGGACATGTAAAAACTAAAAAAAAAAACACTCTAAAGCATTCGAAATTAAATACTTCTGCTTAAACAAACCTGAATAATAAGCATCAGTTTAATTTTTCTTTCTTTACTTTTAGTTTCACTATAATTTAATCCTTGATACAACTTGAATTTTGCATATTTTACTTCTGTATAAACAGATTCCCTTCAAGTTTAACACTGGGTTTTAAATTGCTAATGTTCTTTTAATCATTTTATCAAAGAGGACATTTTAGGTATTACAGTTCAAATTTTAATAAATGTCTAAAAATACTTGACCTTTTCCCAGCCCCTTGCACTATCTCCACAGACAAGAGTGATGGACATCCTCTGATCCAACTGAACCACAAAAACCAGCAATCAGAAAAAAGGTGGCATTGTGTTATCTATTACCAATTTTTCTTTCATACCCTTAATGCAAATAGTATGGATGCTGTTAAGTATGGGCTTTAGAGTTTTTGGAGCTTGCATCAACTTACTTGGTACCTTTCCCAATAAGACTGAACAAAACATTCTGCAGCTGCTTTTGAGGAGGCATAGGGATTTGTTGGACGTTTTGGTGAGGATTCATCAAATTCCTAAAACCAAAAGAAAAACTTGCATTGCATAATTTATTTTGTCCAGATAAGCCTTAGAAAGTTATAAAACTTCAAATTAAAACTACAGCTGCAACTGAAATGGACATCCATAAACACCCAAGAACAGCAGTCTGAAAAAGTCACCGTTCCAGTTAAAAGCAGCAGATTAGCACAAGATGGTCTAGTTATCAAGCACTGAAGGTGGGCAGAATATCAGTGGTAGTATTTTTGTATTTTTATCAGATTACGTCACAGTAGCAGATCCTCAGCTTTAATCTTATAAAATAATCAGCATCACCGCAAAGAGGTGCAATCCTCTTCAGAATCATATCGCCACTGAGCACTACAGCTAGAAAACTGAGCTATCCCTTCTAAATAAAATGTATTCTTTCTCCTTTTTCTATAAACTTTGTTTCTCTAGAGAAAAGCAGAATTTAAATCTACAGCCCTCTAAAACAAAGCTTCAACAATTCCGTCCTGTCCCAAAACAGATAGCCCTGTGGCTATCCTGACACAGGGTACGGACACCTCAACCATTTCAGCCAGTTTCCACTTGAAAAAAGACACAATATTGGACCAAAGGAAGGAGAGACTTTATACCAGCTGAGATGCAACTCAATCACCAGAACATGAGAACAGAATACTCGCAGTTCTTGTCTGACATTTGTCTCTGAAATTAATTGACCCAGATTTACTTGTTGACTTTTTACTGAAAAGTCTCTTTAAGACCAGCTGATTTGCAAAGAGAATAAATCCAGACAAATGAGAATGTTCTTTTCAAGGCCCAGAGGCAGAAAAAGTTCACTTAAAATTATCTCAGTCAAGCCACTTGTCTATACACAAGAAAACAATATCCTAGATATCATAAAGGTTATAGATTTAAGTTGTGCTGAAGGAGGTGATAAAGACATTGAAACAATAAGAAAGTGCCTAACTTTTCTGAAATACATTGTTTTCACAGATTACGGCATAAGGCACTTCCATTGCTATTTATACCTTTAAAAGTATAACCATGTGTAACGTTTTTACTGAGCTAGGCTTTCCTTTCCTGAATTAAGGTCAATCATAAATGGGCAAGAACGAAAAAGATTTCCACAGAAAAATAAAATATCTGCATGCCTCTTCCAGTAACACAGGAATCCTTTCCTGTTCAATTTGTAAGTATCTACAATTCTGTTAATATTTTAGCTCGAGTATAAAAATAGTGTCCTGCGTGTCAAGTTCACAGTCAAGAGCGAGCAAAAAAAGAACAAGCTATGCGCATTAGAGCATTTGTGTGACTTCAGTAAAGCAATATTTGTACAATAGGTTATTTTGATACTACCTCTTAGATGTAGTTACATGTCACTAACGACCCCAATCTCACAGTAACGTGCACTCAATTTAAAATATGCTACGAAAAGTCTTAAGGTCCATTTTGATACTTCTCTGCCTACAAACAACCTATAGTACTTTAGAAGTTCAAGCACTGCCCAAATTAGTTCAGAGGTCATACATTTACAGAGGAAAATTACTTGTTTTATGTATGATTTTCAATATTAAATCCAGTAAAGCTAGAAAAACCCTCATGCATTTTTAAACTCACCTCATCAATGCTACCTCCATATACTTCATCTGTACTGACATAGACAAACTTCTCCACATTAGCTTCATACGCAGCAGCAACCAACACATTAGTGCCATAAACATTCACATAGGTGAATTCCAGGGCATGCCAAAATGAAAGATCTACAAAAAAACCCAAACAATTCTGATTAAATTAGACAACAGAATGAAGAAAAAAAGTTCAAGGAAGATGCAACCAACCATTAAAATAAAATATGGCTTCCTATTAAATCATAGGAGGCAGCAATATAGACATGAGATCGTTGCTGGTGCTTTATCACTAATCATTTGATTGACAGATTGCAAGGTCTTCATTAAATGAGGAACTCTTCTAGCTTTCTACACCTACTTCGAGATAAAATATTTGGTCCCAAAAAGAGGCCATAACCAGGAGTAGAAGTTTGCTGTCCACAGACATTCGCATTTGAAATAGCATTAGCTAAATTTAATTCATTTTAAGCGGCAGCATAACTATCCTCCAGGAAGGGCCAACCTCAGTAAGAAAAGTATCATTCAAGCACAGGTGTATGATGCAGTAATATATATCTGTTACTGTTAATAAACTTGTAACTGTTTTAATTCTGACAATTATACCACTGATGTAATGACACTGCGCACATCAATTTTGTCAGTTTTGAGAAGTAAAGTATTTTCCTGGAAAATTCTTCAAGGACTTTTTTTCATGATGGAGGGACTATCATAGGGATATTTCTCATGAACAGTTTTACTGAATAGCGGTAATCTATAACAGGCATGTTTAGGTATAATTCATTTTATCTCTTCCTAGAACCTTGACACCTCCGTCTTAGCTGCTACAGAGTAGTTTTTGCTTTATGGTTGGACGCAGTCAAGTGAAAACTGAAAAGATTAGATATGAACTCTTTTTTCCATCATCTTCCCCTTTCCTCTATTACAGCCTCAGCTGCATGTGTGCCTAGATGATATCTAAAGTAAAATGTAAAAAATTAATTTTATCATTTATGTGCGGTCAAAAGGGATGATAGTCAGATGAAGTACTTCATATTAAACCTGTGAACCTCTTAAAAGTTAAAAATGCCATGAGACCTGAAATCACATAGTTCATACAACTGGTACAAGGATACATAGTCTGTACAAGGACACAGCTGGTTCTGTAGTCTTGTTTTACGTGAAGGGCAAAAGGATGAAAAGTATCGGTATAGCGTTTCAAACGAGTGTATCTCATGAACATAACAAAACATGCAACAATGCTCACCTACATGTGTTTGGGCTGCAAAATGAAAGACTATATCAATTTTCTCAGTTTCAAAAAGCTGTTTTATAAAATGAGGTTCACAAATGTCCCCCTAAACAGAAAAAAAAAATCATTAATAAAATTGTTACAAATTAAAGCTTACTATTTTGTTATCAACAAGCGTCACATAATACAAACTATCACAAAAGGAAGCACAGGAAAGAGTTCTGCAGTAACAGCATGTTTCCAAAGCCGAAGCATGTATTTTTATAGCCGAAGCACAGCATTATTCAGCTTTTTCTTTAATAGCAGTAACAGAAAATAAAACTGTCCAACCAAAAGAGAAAATTATGTCTTGGAAGATCAAATTAGATATTCATATCCAAATTTTTAAATAAAATAATATGCTTTCTTTTACTTATTTATAGATATAAGTAAGGCTCCCAACTAAATTTTGGGCAATACACTAATGTCATGTCTAAAACAAGACCAGATGTAAATTTCATGCTTTTTGAGCAATAGCCCCAATCATATTTAATTCATTACAGAATTTACATTGTTATTTAACATTAGAAACAAGATCATTCCCAAAACATACACAACAATTGTAGCATGTATCTTGAATGCTGAGGTTGTAATGACAATTTCCTACACCAAATAAAAAGTTACCGGAGTTTGGCTGGCAGACAGTGGCACCTAGTGGCATTATAGAAGGTGAAGTGGTTCTCTTTCATCAGAGAAGTGCCTTAATTTTTTTTTTAAATCAGAAAAACTGATATATTTAGAAAACAAGTTAAGTGCTTGACACACGAGTCATTCTTCACTATGTTACAGAAGCAGCAGCAGCTCTCAAAGCTAAATACAAGCCGAGAAGTTTTTGATATTTATCAATTGGCTCAGCTTAAAGAAAAGCTAGTCGGGACCTGAGAAGAAGGGATATTACAGAGAGCAGAAAGTTTACTTACGTATTTTCAAAAAAAAGGCAATTAACTAGAGATAGTTCCAATGCACCAATATCTTGAAAAGCTCTCAAGCAACAGTACTAAACAACAGGCTCTAGAAAGTACTATATATTAAAAATGGGAGGAAGTTAAACTGATTTACCTATTTCTCATCCCTGAACAGAACTGAAACACTCCAGCAAATACTTCAGGCTCATAAATTGCTTTTAAACTGATATGGTTAGAGTTATTAATCATTATCATTATTAATGCTGCTACATTTCTAGTAAACTCTTGTAGGCTGAATCTCATTTATTTAACTCAAATTCAAACTTGATCTTACTTTTTTAGATATGTTCCTCTTTCTTTATAGGAATATCTTTTAATAAAATTGCATACATCAATTTTCTTCTAAAAATGCTCTTAGATGTAGACTTTGGCTTGGGCTACGTGAAAGCTGGCCTCCACATATGCAGTGTGTGAAATACGCAGAAATATTTTTTTAATAAAACGCATATGCAGATGAAGAAAATCCTGGTACGTCCATCTGAGCGTCACACACAATGATGATGAGTTACTAGAAGTAATCTCAACTGTACCATAAAGGCAAGTAGTGGCTTCCGTTTTGTGGCGCCCTGGCAACCCGTTACCTTTATACTAAGATATGAAAGTCTTTCCAAACTTAAGTTTCCTAGAGAGGAAGGCTTTACCTGGATAAATTTATAGTTTTCCTTCTTGGAGACAGTTTCAAGATTCTTCAAGCTTGCACAATAGTCGAGCTAAAGAGAAATACCCACAAAATATCATCAAATAGTCTTCACTGAAGTGAATAAGCAAGCTCAGATCCAACTTAATTAAGCTCCTATTTCAAATAAGCTTGATAATAATGTAAAACCTTCTTTCAACAGAAAAGCTACTTGGCAAACAAGTATGATGAAACTTTAAAAATGTAAAAGTCTGAAAGATATCAGCTTCAAAAATGCTTAATAGCTAAACAGAAGCTTAGAACTTCAAAAGCCTCCTCCTATTTTTTTCCAATAAGAGTACTACATGATTATCTCCTGAGCATGGCGTTATAAGCATGATCAGCAGCTAAGCTATTGCTTTTGCATAAGAAAACAAACACTCAGACTGTAATTAAACATAAATATATATATATATATATATA